AAAAACAACCACTGTTGACCTAACTGCAAAGAATGTCAAACTGAGTAACTACCAAAGAACATGGCTGAGTTTCTGCACACGAAGGGAAAACCCAACAGCCTCCATGTTTTCCTTACGCCAAAGATAAAGACGCTCTTTCATGAGTTTCATCCTCGTATGCAGATTGCCCGTCAGGGACATCCACAATTCAGAGGAGAAAAAGATCTGCCAGAATGTGATGGAAACAACTTTGAACGAATCATTAACAAAAATAATCAACGTCATAAAAGGTTTCCCAAATGAAGTTTTTTGACAGCATAGTACTTTAAAAAATAACTTGCCTGAAATTTAAATCTTTAAAGTGATTATAATTCTAAGAGAGGGAGCCCCATTTCCCACAAGAAAGAACAGAGGCATTACCCAATATTGTAAAATGAAAAATCCTGACTATGTTTTTGTTGGATTTAGACATAAAACAACCAATATCCAGGGTTGAAATGTCAGAGTACTGGAATATTTTGCTAAGAAGAAGGTACATTAGCTTAGTAATGGTAATGGGCTTTGAAAAACCTACTTTTTAAAAGAAAAAAAAAAAGGGAAGCCATTTTTATCTTACCTTAGGAAAGTATACTAATGAAACATATATAGTTTTTAGCTACTATTTTGTTCCAATATTAAGTCTAGAATAGGGAAGATTTTGACTGCCCTGAGAAATTAAACGGAACATAAAATTTTTTTCCTGCAGTTAAGAGAATTCTGCTTTTCCACACATCGCCTTTTCTCTTATTTCTTGTTGTTCTTGAAATTTTGAAAAATTGATTAATAAGGCAATCTATCCAGATAAAACTGCCGGGAGACAATCAGTCCTTTTATTCCTTATAAAAGGCAAAATGACATCTGGTCAGTAGAAAAGAAAGATAAGGAACCTACTTCTTACCATAATTAAAATACTCTTTCACTGTTTATCAACCCTAGGAAAGATGAAAGGGATGAATGAACATTACTTGCAAGGGGTTGAACAGATAAAAAGAGATCCTTCTATCAGGAGCAGTGCATAAACCATCATCATGTTTAAATTGGCTATGTTTTGTTTCAGATACGTTCACTATATAGCTTCTATTTCCTCTAATTTTATTTACTTCTTCAACATTTTCCAATGCTTCTAGTAAAATTACCAATCAAAATGCCTTAAGTGAAACGTTTTGTATCTCTCAGCAACAAAGGTGGCAAATCTAGCGACAGACAACAGAATCAGAAAAATAAGGATTGCAGGACCGAGGGTGCCTGGCAAGAATCAGGGCACCTGTACACAATCTCACTCCTCACAAAGAAAAAAGAAACCTCTTTTAAAGGAGGGAAGTGACCCTTGCTTCAAATTATATTCTCTAATCTTACTTTTGAGAGATCTAAGTAAAATAAGTCTTCAAAAAGTGTTACGCGCCAAGTTCTTTCAAACATATCACCTCAGTGTGTTGAGGATGTGGCTCCACTGGGTTAATCCCAACTATTCCCCCAAATGACTCCACTCTTCACTCTAAAAGAATTCAGTTGTGTCCTTCACCATGCCACAGAAATCTTGGGTAGAGGACTTCAGTGACACTATACACAGACTCCAAACCAGGGTGGGAATAGAACTAAAGTGATGGCAATAGACCTAACAGAAAAAAAAGTCTGAAAATAGATACATATCCAAACTCTGTGATAAGATGAGCAGGTTACAAAAATATATGACCATGCCACAATACTAAATAAAAATTATTTCAGATGGATTAGCGTTTTGTTTTGGAATTAACTCATGACCTTTTAGGTTTCTGATATAGTTTCAAAGAGACTCCTGTACCTTAATTCTTTTTCTTTCCCCGAGGGGAAAAATTATTTCTTAAGACAGATTATCATTTTGTCACCCTTGGTAGAGTGCTGTTGCATCATAGCTCACAGCAACCTCAAACTCTTGGGCTCAAGCAATTCTCTTGTCTCAGCCTTCTGAGTAGCTGGGACTACAGGTGCCTACCATAATGCCCGACTATTTTTAAAGATGAAGTCTCACCGTTGTTCAGCTGTTCTTGAACTCCTGAGCTCGGGCAATCCACCCAGCTTGGACCCCCAAAGTGCCTAGAGAAGAATTTTAATATAAAGTTTTGCTAATTAACTCCTTGAAGGCATTTTAGTAACAAAAATCTTGTCCCAATACTTTTAAAACTGTCACTATTAGAAATGGAAAGCATAACAGTTTAAATTTGAAGACAATCCCTCAGATCCTGTGTTTCTAAATTTACACAGTGCAGAGGCTTCCCTGTAGGTTTGGTGAATAAAACTTCTAATTCCCCTTTCTCCCAATTCTTTTATTCCAAGTCAAATTAACTCATGGAGGAAACTATATAATAGAACCAGAATATCTAACTTAGTGCAAATCTCATCCAACAAAACAAACCATGAGGTTCACTAACACTTCTTCAGCCCTATGTCACAGACAACATCCCCCATACCATGCAATTACTCTCTCATATAGTCCTGGCAATGACTCCAACAGGTAATGAATGAGAACGCTCAGTCCAGAAAACCTAACAAGTCTGGGCAAGTCTGACTGATATCTATCTGACAGGAGAAAGAACAGGAATTCTAACCTAGGAACCCTGCTCTAGGGCCATCTAGTCTCCCCTTCTCCTTCTATATGAAACCAGTAAGGTGTGATTGTGGCTCAGCCCTCAGGGTGAAGGGCACACACTTCCACCTCCACACATCATTGCCTCATTTGGAAATAAGGGAAACTGCAATCACTTCTGGGATTGAAACAAGACCTTGAGGTGCCTACAGTTGTGCTAATGTCACAACTGTTGAGCAAAGCTGTGGCAGGTCCCGTGGAGGGAGAGTGTGATTGCCTTCGTTAACCTTTGCTACTCGTTTACTTTGGAATTTCCACATCAGCATTTGTCCCATTGACTTACTGGGTAGCCAGAAAGGCCAAGGATCTACAAGAGTTCTGAGCCTTCCTTGAGATATAACCCAGTACAAATAGTATTATGGACAGAATTCACTCAGAGCCCCTTCATCCAATTTACCCATTGGAGAAACTGTTATGCTAATTTTTTAGAACATTATGTAATTGGTGCTGTCCTGCAACTCTAACCGTCAATCAATAATTAATACCATAGTAATAGTTAAAACTGCAGCCAACATGTTTTTGTGTGCCAGGCTTTCTGGTAAGGGCTTCACATGGAGTTACCCCATTTGATCCTCATAACAATCCTGAAGATAGGCTCATTGTTACAGATAAGAAAACTGAGGCTCAAATTTCTGTATTTACAAAATTAACTACTTGTTGATTCATGTTATTTTTATATTCTTTGGCTTCAAAGAAGGACATAGGCAATTAGTATTGATTTTGGTATCCCTTCAGTCATTCTATATAATCATATTTTCACACTGTGGCAGCAGCTCCACTTTGCAATTTAAATATGCTATTACTATCTTTTAAAAACACCGCTTATACCTAATCGATCAGTACTTTAGTATGTATTGGTTTTGAACATGTTCCGTGAGAAACCAGATGAAGAAAAAAACCAAGAGAGAAGTTTGTGGAATGAAGGGCTTGTTCATTGACCCCCATACCCAACAGAACAATCAAGCCTTCTGAGTATTTTGGAGTTGACTAACTAATGAAAACCAAAACCCAAAAATCTATTGTCAGACATAAGCTGGAATGTATAAACTCAGCTGTAAGTAGGAAAACGAAGTTTTGTGTTTTAATTTTGCAGGCAAATTCAATCCAATGATCAAATGCAATTGAATATCACAATCTTCCCTGGAGCTCTCAAGTTTCCCTCTACTTTAATCTATGTTTGACTCCCATATGAAAACCCTTAGACTATAAATACGCACCAGATGTGCCAAAACAACCCCATACACACTTCAGAACTGAATTTCAGAGACTAGAAACAACTCTTTCCCTACTCCACGCCCCCGCCACACCCGCACCCCCCCTTACCCTAAGTTCAGCATTTCATGTCATGCAGTCATAGTAAACTTGTTCAGGTTTCCTTCATTCAAATGCTGAAATAACTTGCAGCAATTATTTGGTGTGGAGCTTACAGCACAAGGTGAACCAAGTGCTTATTTTTAACCAACGAGGAACATTACAGATTTCTTGATTCAGCTTCACAGAAAATTAGTCATTGATTTTTCAGGATAAATCAGTTCTGCTGAGCTATGGTGCAGGCCAAGGAAAAGTGTAAATGAGGCAAAAAGACCAGTCTCTCACCCCAAGACTCATTCACCCTGTTACCCCCATGAGTAGTTTTAGCAACACCCGAGGCTGTATTGCTGCTTGTTCTCTTTCTTACCTTTTTGCTTATTTCTCTGGCTGCAGGTTTCTTTAGAACCAGAAGGTCTGAATAAGAGCTGAGCAGGAAATATGGCAGAAGAATTTAGATGACTTCTAAAGAGCAGTGAAAGAGTTGCTCACAGTATCCCAAGACCAGCAGCTTTTCATCAGGCGAGCTCTAGAACCTCTGGAAGAAAGGTTCTCACACTATTATATCTCCATGCCTGAGGTCCAGCTTACCCCAAGCTGAATGGGAAGGCTCTGTGGGCTGGGTTTCGCAGGGACGACTGCAATCATCTTTGTATTGTGAAACATTATGTGAAACATAAATAATTCCTTCTGGTCCTAAAGTGTTGTCATTGCAGCCTAAGCACATCAGAGTTTGAGAAAAATAATTTGGTTATGTCTTTGTTGATGAAGAACTGAGTAAGTTATCTTGTTAATTCATTCAATCAGTCATTTATTCAACCGCAAAAATGATCCATGACCTGCTATCCAGTAAGCACTGTACTATGTTTTGGAGATAAGTAGTTCTGAATGTAAAGAATGTGTCAAAATCTGTTCCACACACATATGGTCATTCCATGTCCCCTCACTTACCTCTCAGTTTTATGTGTTTGCTCAGGGACAAAGAAAAGAGATTTTATAGGGATGGGAATGCACAGGGGTTAATAGCAGCATCTCAAAAGTTATGTTGCCACGGTTCAGTCACAACCCCGATATAGACAAGGTCTTACTCTGTCACCAGGGCCAGGGTGTTGTGGCATCATCATAACTCACAGCAACCTCAGACTCTTGGGCTCAAGTGATCCTCCTGCCGCAGCCTCCCAGCACCTGGGACTACAGGCTTGTCACACCGTGCCTGGTTAATTAATTAACTCTGGACAAGCTTTGAAACTGCTAAGTGCCTTAGTTTCTCTGTCTATAATCCCTCAGTGGAGATAATTATGGTACTTCCCTGAGTATACTGTTGGGGGATTAAAGGATTAATTTCAGGAAACGATCCAGAAGAGTGCCTGATGGATAGTAAGCACGGCATAAATATTACAAATATTTTCGTCATCCTCTGGGGTTGATCAGATTTCCTAGATTTCATTTGGAACAAATTGTCAGGACGCATGCAATCCTGCTAAACAAGGCTGGGATGAAGACAGCTGGTGTCAGTCATCTCTCACAGCCTTGTGAGTAATGCGGGAGCTGTTTTCTCTAGGGTTTGAAAAGAACAAGTATAGTACCTCTAGCATTCTCAATTGGGCCTTATTAATGGGCAAATTCAGATTTAGAGAGATTAAGATGGTGAAGATCTCCACCTTGACCAAACTTCAGTCTCCTCTCAGCCCCCTTCCTAACTAGGCCTTCACATTGCCCTGCTGACTCACACTTTAGCAAAAATCCTGCTAACCAGTTTATTGAGAATCTGCCTAACCTTGATATCTAAATCCCCCACCCCCTTCCTTGATACCTTAAGTAAGTTTCTCTTGGTAATTTTCCGTCCTATCCCTTACCCTGCCCGCTGGCTCTAAATCCCCACTGTCCCTATTTGTGTTTGGAGGCGAATGCAGTCTCTCTCCCCGTTGCAATTGTCTTGACCCCTATTGTAACAGTCTTAAATAAAATCTTCCTTGCCCCTTAAAAGAGTGTCAGAATAATTTCTCTTTAACGGTCAAAACAATGAAATATCTATCACTGTAATTGACATATGATTAACTCTCTACATAGGGCAATGGGGAAAAGTTCAAACAGATTGGAGGAGCTGATGGTGTTCGAGACAGATGTTCTTGATGAAAGGGTGATGAAAGTGAAGAGGGGCACATTATAAACGCAAGCTTGGAAAATTAGAGGTGCTTCCCAGGGCCTCATTTGTAATTGTTATTTCCCATTAAAAATAAAAGGTTTAAAGTCAACTCAGGTTCATCCTAATGCAAACTCATTTTCTAAAATTAGTGGTAGTAAGAGTGATGTATTCCTCATAGGCAGATAACATCGTCCCTGGCTGTACGATTAGATGGCGGAGAGAATTGGCTATGAGGTAGGCCATTTAGCAGGGAGTAAGGGGTCTAAAATAATTGGATAAAGTGGGAAGACAAAAAAGAAATCAAATAGACGAGGTATTTAAAGAATTTAAAGTTCAACTTAGCTTAAACATGTGTACTAGGAGAGAGGGGAAATTCACAGGGAGTTAGGATACCTGCATTTTCTCCAGTTTTCAGAATACATCAGTCAGATTCTACAGTCCCTAATTAGGAGATAGGGAAGGGGCTAACGAGAGAAAACGCTGATGAATGGAGAAAATGTGCACTGACACTCGCCATCCCAAATGGCATTTTGTCATTCACTTTTTTTTAATAGGCAATCACAATATGTTACTGAAAAAAAGTATTTGTAAATAGTAAAAAGGCCCTGGTTCTAAGCTCTGGTTGTAGATTTCTCTATACTAATGTCAAATTCATCCATGAGATTAATAGGGAAATACCGTAAATCATTTAGGAGAAGAAACTCCATCTCCCTTTAGGATTATTGCAAAATCCATTCTTTCTGATGTTCTCAAAGACATTTACCCGTAGGATTTCTACAGCTTTTGATTTACTGGGAAAAAAAAAAAAAACTAGTCTAAGCTTTCCACTATACCCCCAGAAAGAGTTCTGATACTGCTTTAAATCAATATCTGACATTCATTCATAGAGAAAACTTGATAGAGTAAGGATCTGCCTGCAGTGAGTGAGCAGTCCCTTAAAGAAAGACAAAGCCAGAGTCCTTCACCAACTGCCCTTGCATGGCAGAGGAAGCCCTGGTTCTAGTCCCAGCTATTTATAATTAGCACTATCATCTCAGGGGCTCAATCTGATTATTTGTGATGTGCAGGGATGATGATCTCTAAGAATCCTCTAGCTCCAAAATTCTCTTGGTTTGTAAAAAGTACTAATTCCTATAAGGAAAGGTCTGCTTGACTCGAATGCCTCTCTTTGCCATTTGATTTCTCAGCCTCAAAGGGGAGAGTTTTCTGTACTTGAATTACGTAAAACACCAAAGATTCTTGGATCAAGAAAAACAAATGATGCCATCACTTTCCTCCTTTAGGTCTTTTGAAAATGAAAAAGCTGATAATTATACCACAAATACATACATGCATTTGCAGTATTACTTATATTTAACTTCAGTTTTTAAGGATTTAAATCTATCTAAATTGTAATTATTCCTCTTCTTTTTCTTTCTGGTCTGCTCAGAGATATCAACATATATTCTAGATTATTATCAGAAAAAGATTTTGTTATATCCATGGTGTGAGCTAATTTATACATTACACAAGTACTTTTCCAGGTATTAAGGTTAAGCTAAGTCCATGTTCTCATGGGACATACCTTCTATCAGAGTTGTCCTGTTTTAATATTAATCATTTATGCTTGTAGAAAAGCATGAAGAAGAAAACAAATACCACCTGGTTAGACTGTTTAATGTTCTGTCATCTGCTTCAGACATTTTTTTCCAAGTGATATTGAAACAAGGTATAATCCCAGTGTAATTTATATTTTATGTAACAAACAGTATTTTAGTGCTGACTGTGGGCTTTCCAATATTAATCCCTTTGATCTCCATATACATCCTATTGGATAGTTAATAATAGGACCTACCTTGGCTATAGAATTGCAAGGTGGGAGGTTTTTATGTTCAGCATTTTAAAGGTACCGCTCCGTTCTCTTTTGACTTTCATTGTTTCTGAAGAGAAGCTAGCCATTATTCTTATTGTGCTTTTCCTAAATACAACATTTCCCCCTCTAATTGCTTTTAAGATTTCTCTCTCTCTTTTTTAAATTTTCTAAGTGTTCCTTTCCTCCTCCTCCTCTTCTTCTTCTTATTATTTTGCATTCATCCTGTTTGGTATCACCTAAGATTTTTTTCATGTGAGTTGACTTTTTTTTTCTTTTTTTAATTTCAGGTTAATAGGAGGGTACGAGTCACTGGGTCACAATATTTGCATTTGTTAGGTATAGTCCCTCTTGTAGTTGTGTCCCACACCCAAAGGTACTCCATATCCCCCTACATTGTTGCCATTAAGTGGGAGCACACCAATCCCCTCCCCCTCTCTCTCCCATCCCCCGTTCCCCTTGCCCCAACTTGAATTGATTTTTTCTCCTGTGTGGGTATGTTGCATCATCTACTGGCTTCACATTAGTATTGGTGAGTTGATATTTTTAACATCAATTTTGTAAAATTTTTGGTGATATGGGTTCAAATATTTCTTCTGCCCTGTTCCTTTTCCTCTCTTTATGGGACTTCAATTACACGTATGTGAGACAGTTTGATATTATCTCATTGGCTTTTCCATTTCCCGTTCAGTTTTATCCTTCATTCTTTCCTTTTCTTCTTACATCAGTTTGGACAATTTCTATCAATGTGTCTCTGTGTTCACAGATCCTCCTTTGTTTCCTGTGGATCGTGTGCCATGGGGCCCATCCTGATTTGGGATATTTACTATTTACTTCTACAGTTCTTCATTTTTCCTCCTTTTCTACTCCTTCCTCTCCCCCTTCCTCCTCCTCTTTTCTTCTCCCTTCTTTTCCTCTTCCTTCTTTGAAATCCCATTTCTATTTTGAAATCTTCTCTCTTAATCTACTTTGTTTTTTCCCCATTAATTTCTTCAGTATCGTTGCAATAGTTGTTTTTAAAAGCTTGCCTGTGAATGTCAACACGTATCTTCTATGTGCTGTTTCTGTTGGCCAGTTTTTTCACTTGTCTATGGGTCACATTTTCCTAACTCGTCATTTTTTATTTTATGCCAGAACATTGTATTTAAAAGAACCACAGAGACAGGAGCAAAAGTGTGCCCTCCCTTGCCCAGGTAGGAAAGAAGGGCAGACTTTTTCCTCTGTCACTCAGCTCAGGGGAGGCTAATCACTTCAATGTAATAGGAGTAGAGTTGGGTTGAGGCTGGACTACAATTTTAGTACGTTCCAGCTCACATCTGGTTTTGAATATCTTTAGGATGAGATAGGTCCTTTGTGAATTATAGACTTCTTCACCCCACATGACTTCGGGTTTTAAGCATCATGAGTTAATGGAAATCTCTCTCTCTGCCTTTTTACCCCCCACCTCTGCCTTCCAAGACTGCTCCTCTGTGAACTCAGCAGAAGTCCCATGAGGGGCAATTGGCAGCGTGGAAGAATCAGCT